TAATTATAGAAAATGAATATCAAAATTTTATTTCTCACAATCTGACTGTCTTATCTCATCTTGGTTAATTTCAAGCCCCAGATCGAGTTGTGACAATTACATTATTTGTTCAATATATCCAAGAGTAAGATTTCTGTTGCTTGAAATGAAATAAAAAATAAATTTCAAACAAGTACAAAAATCATCACCACGATCACCATTCTCATTATTGTTTCTAAGGACTTCAAAAGCTGATCATTTAAACACTGCAAAACATTGAAGTGATATCCCCAACACATCTATCACATTATCTTTATGCCAATTTTCAAAAGAACAAAAAAGACAAGAAAAACTAAACAGTAAATTAGAATGAAGCGCAAGTGAATATTTTATGTATCATCAAAAGCACCTAATGGTGTTACTAACAGATGATTTAAAGATCTCTTAGCATTTTTACTAGCCAAACTGTTCACATAAAATTTTCCATAAGATCACCAGCACGGCAATGGATTGTAAGAAAATTTACAACTCCAGCGGAACCTCAATCCAAGAGAAGGAATGTCATCACTAATTAAGCCACTAAAATGTTCACTGATCAAAGTTGACTTAGAAAACTGATAAATAAATTAAAATGTATGGTTGTATAAATATAATTATTATAATATTCATCAATTTAAGTTTGTTCTCAAAATTTAAATCCAGGTTCAGACTATGTTTTGGAGATAGGGGCTAATATTCCTGCCCTAATAGTTGTTTCATGTCCGTCACTTCATCTGTTGAGATTGCCAATCCTATTTGTGAACACAAAAACGACTATATATCAAAGCAACAATCAGATTTTGATTGGAGCATCCAAAGTGTTGATTCTCTATTGGATAAGATTTTATATTCTTTAAGCTAGAACATGTAAGAATAAGAGGAAAATCTATCAACAATCACCTATATTCACTAGGCTTGAAGCTAGATGATCCAAATAAATAAATTTAAAATTATCTCCTTAATATATATACAATAATAAATAGCATAATAGTTTAATTTCAGCCTTTCTATTTTGGAACTAAAACTACTGAAGATCCATTTAATGTTGATACTCCCAAACGACAACCTTATTTTGAAATCTTGAATATTTTGCAATGCTTGTCCAAGTAGATCATGAGAATAGCGAGTCAATATAGTTTCTAAAAATTGAGCAAAACTAGTGATTCCACACTACTTTTGCCAAGTATAAAACCAGTCAAAAAACTTGTGGAAAAGTAGAACAGAAGCCTTGTTGGCCCAAATCACTGTGATGTAACCCTATGTCATAACAGATTCACCAAAATAAAATGCCCCATTGCGAGTGTCCTGTACACATGGCTTAGAGCTTAAAGCAGCTAGTTAAAATTGGGGTGAACAAATTGCTTTTCTTAAAAAAAAAATAAAAAAAAGGGGAAAAAAAAAAGGTTGGTACTCAAGATAAATATACTATTCATCTAAAATCAACATGCACACATGAATTTCAATCTAAAATCAACATGTTCTTATTTGTAAGTTTAGCCTTATGAACTGCAAAACAGAGACAAGTCAATGAAGTGAGAAAAGAAAATGTACTTATAAAGTGGCAAAGGCAAACCCGGAACAATTGGTGCAGGGCACACAGAATGAACACGGAGTTTTGTGAGAATGGGTTGCAGTTTGAGATTGTGAATGTCCTGATTTGCAATGACTTACAACGAGGAATTTGAAATCATGGTTTTTACATGTCTGGTGGGTGCAAGTTGGCATACGCGAACAACAAGCAATTAGAGAGGTGGTTGCAAACAATGGAGCAGACAACAACTGAAGAGAGATTAACATAGATAGCACCGCCGTGTTACTATAATTCAAATCAAGGAGTTATCCAACAAGTTTTATGTTTGGTAACCAGCATTCATAATGGAGATATTCAATCAGCAGAAATATGATTGTGAATGATTGAATCAAAACTAGGAGTGTTCATCTCTAAAACCAATTAGGATAATCGAAAGAAAATGGCGGGAAAATGTTACTAAATGAAGGGTTGAAAGTTGCCTCAAATTACTTATTAATTTGCAATACACCATTATAACAGCTTTACATACCTCAGACTTATAAGGTTGCTTAAAATATTCAAGGTAGAAATAGGAAAGATATACTGTGTCCTTATTACTAACAAAAAAAGAAACTAAACACATTTAACACAGACAACAACAACAAAAAGCCTTTATTCCACTAAGTGGGGTCTGCTACATGAATCCTTTTTCTATGTTGTGTCCTATTGAGTGTCATATTTTCATTTAATTGTAATAGATTAAGATCATTTTTTATATAATATGACCAAGTCTTTTAGGTCTACATTTGACTTTTTTAACATAAGTCGAATCTAAAACATCTACTCTCCTAACCGGATCATCAGGTTATTGAATTTTAATAAGACCAAACCATCTAAGACGACTCTCTTTAATATTGTTTGCCACTAGACCTACACCAACCCTATCATAGATATATTCAATTCGCATTTTGTCTCTAAGTGTCAAGCCACTCATCCACCTAAACATTTTCATCTTGGCAAAACTTAACTTTGTTTTATATTTCTATTTTAAAGGCCAACATTGTGCGCTATAAAGCATTGCAGATTTCATAACCATGTAATACAATTTTCCTTTAAATCTAAGTGGTACTTTTCTATCACACAATAGACCCAATGCAATCCTCACCTTCAACCAACCAATTTGAATTCTACTAATAACATCCCCATCTACATCACCATCACTTTGACCAATAGACCCGAGATATCATAAATGTTCACACCTTTTAATGACAAGATCACCCATCGTTACAACTTTTTCACTAGAGCTAATACTACTAAGAATCATGACATGAATCCTTTAAATCTTAATTAGCACAAAAAATATTAAAATAATTTGAAAATAAATGGGCACATGCATAAAACCAATGAGGAAGCAAATGTAAGGCCCACTACATCATCATTTATTCTTATAATTGTTGCAATATATTTTTTAAGAAAAATATTTAGAAAAAATATAAAGAAATTAGAAAGAATTTCCAAAGAATCGGAATAAAATCAAAATGACGCATCAAAGATAATCAAATTTAAAAAAAGGAAAATGATAATCCAATGGAAGAAGAGAACCCAATAGCCATCACTTAAAAATATCTTGTTTGAGGTATAGCGAATCTAGAAGCGTAACGATATATATTTTCTTTTAATTTTCACCTCACTTGGCAAATAAGATTTTAAACGTTGTGTCCACTTCAGCTTCTAGAATAGAATACCAACATCAAAATTATAATTTTGTAAACCAAGCTCTTCATCCTCCACAGCAACAAAATGATCAAGAGTTGCTAATACATCGCATAAATCCGAATCAATGATTTTGCAAACAAAAGTGGTACCAAACACCATATTTGGGCTAATTAAAACTAAGGCAGGCTTTGATAGAAAGTTAAGATCTAAATCTGGTACTAAAATTTATGTAAAATTCTGAATAAAAAATAGTAGGAACTACAACACGACATTTAGGGGTGGATTTGATCAAAATAATGCTCCTTTAAGACCTGAGTGCTAGGATCAACAATAGTTGATTTCCTCAATTCTGAGTGAGACTTAAACACCATATGTAGTTTTGTCCAAGAATTTTGTAAAAAGAGCAACAAGAGGGTAAACCTTCAAAGTTTGCCTTCTTCCAAAATCTAAATGAGGAAAAATTAATTGAAATTTCCTTCTCTAAAAATAAAGTAACCCATCCAACAAGGACCCCAACCATTAATATATCCAATAGAGCCTCATATTGAATGCATCTACTTGTAAGGGTCATTGATTGAATTAATGAACCCAAAGCTAAGAAAATGTAATCTAAATCGACGCAACAGGTGGTTCCTTGGTACAATCAAAGTGAGAGGACAACTTAAGCATCTACACAGTATGATCTTCTGGATAAAAGTCTAAAATAAGTTGCTTCAAATTTGATAAGCACATGACAAGAATCAAGTACCCAAAATAAAAAAATAAAAAATAAAAATCTCCTTTCAATTGTAAATTGAAGATTATCTATGAACAATCTCAAAGATAAGGTTGCCTCAAGAAAGCTTGTCAATAATAGTGAAGAAAAAAGATGTCAACTCATATATGTCGTTATTAGAAAAGAATAAGATTAGGTTTACCATGAATTGTGGATGGCAGCTTGTGATGAGTTGGGCATTAAATCATTCCAAAAAAAAAAACAAGAAGAAGAAATGCGAGCAAGAAGCATGAAGACTGGTCTTACCCCCAATAGCCTTAGTGAACGAACGATAAGCGCAACTGACAATAGATTTTATACATGCAGAAGCTAAAGAGACCAATAGAGAAGTCAACTGAAGAAGATAAAACTCTAAATCAAAAAACAAAGCCGAAACAAAGAAAGTAAATTAGCATGACATTGTAAGCAAAAGGAAGAACAAAAGTTCCAAGCAATGAGTAAAAAGCCGAAGGCTATGAGAAGGCCCTCAAAATCACAGGAGGGACAGAGGTTGAGAGCCCAAACCAAGCACAAGAAGAACATCATGCTAAGGCTATGAGGTGTCGATGATAGAGTGCCGTGAGGGCATCAAAGCGTATACAATGCAGGAATAAATGAGCTGGGTAACTTCTTCCATGCTGGCACAACCACGAAAAGACAAAATGACCGCGCCAAGCACGTAAGCATGAGGCCAAGGGGATGGAGTGCACAAACATGAGGTCACCCAAGGGTGTCTGCAAGAACAAAGCATCACAAGAGTTTTCTTTCGAATTTAACTTAAACAATAGAAAATGAAAAATAATTATAAAAAAGACCCAAAAAAGGCTTCATATAAAATCCTTCAGTTTGAAATTTAACAAGTGCAAAAAAAAACATCTATCTAAAATTAAAAGGATGGAAAAAAAGTTATTGCTGCTTAAATAATATGCCAAATAATTATATTACTTGTTGTCTATTACTTGTTGTCAAAAAAATTAAATTAAAAAAAAAAAAAGAACATACGGTGGTAGTTGGTAAAAACTTCTCTGTAACAACAACACCACGGGGTCCATTGCACTTGATACTATAACCTTCCCTCTTGATCGCTAAAACAGCTTGCTCCCAAATATCCAAATATCTGGCCTGAAAGTTTTAAGAATATTTTAATTAATTGTAAATAGTTAGCAGAGAAGGCATACGAATAACCAATATTGAATCTGAACAAGTTCTATAGAACTGAAAGAAATCATACCGATAATGCAACTTCATATGATGCATGTCCAGCTGAAAGAGTTTTCTCTATCTGTTCTTGCATTACAGGATCTGCAAAAAAAAAAAAAAAAAGAAACCAAAGAACTCATGCTGAAGTTACACGCTTAGCATGATCATCCAGCCATATTTAATGATTGCCAGAGATAATATGCTAATGATAATAAAGCAAAAAGCGCAAAATGAGATGATTTTTGAAAATTCTCTTTTGACGCAACTTCATTTGCATTCTGGATCATGATGAAAATTAAAAATCATATAAGAGGAATAACAGGATCTAAGCCAGATTATAGGATGTCACTACATCACTTTGACAATCATTAAATCGAAACATAAATAAATATTAGTTCAACAAATAAAAATATAATTAATAAGCTCTCATTTAATACTATCTCGAGAAGATAAAACCAAAGCTAAATGCAGAAATGGACTCCATTACACATCAAAGTGTGATAAAGTGTTTTTCTTTCCACATTAAGTGTAGAGTTTCTATTATGATCAATAAAGGACGTGCTTAGCTTCTAAGAAACATAGGTGTGCTTCCCTTATCTGAATGTTCTGATTATACCGGATCTGTGTGCCTGGTAATAATATGATGTATGCTCTTTTGGACAAATTTGTAAGTTGAATATCATAATGAGTGTTGGAAGTGTATTTAATCAGCTCAGCTCTATTGCATTATCCTTTGTCGAATTAGAGTCATCAGTCCCTTTGCCCTTGTGCTAATTCTTGATTTTTCATCAGGACATGTGCCAGAAATGAGAATTTCACAGGCTAGAATCTAGAATTGGGAGATGGGACTCTACATACATGCTACTAAAAATCGTGTAGGATGTATTGAAACTTTATATTTTTAACTATGCAAGCCAACTTGGCATTGTGGTTGAGAGCTTTATTTTTCAACCAAGTGACCCTAAATTCAAGGCCTTGCGGGATGTGTGCATTTGCATGTGTGTGTGTGGGATAAATATATATAGAGAGAAAGAGAGAAAGAGAACTTGATTGATTTAACTAGAACTCACGAATTTCAAAAAGTGTTTTAGATTATGAATAAGATCCTTGATGCATGTAATAGTTATTTAAAATTTCAATTATTCCAAGTTCCTCTTAATACTTATTTGTATTGTTTAACGTGGATTCAAACACTTCACCAGTCATGATGACAAATTCTAAGGGATGATTCTTCCTGTACAAGAGTGAGACTTTGATTAAAACATTCATCACTTATAATTGAGCATTTACAAACATACCGACAAGTTTTTAGTATTTACATATCTAACACAAACTTTAACATTTACATTCATAACACTCAAATAGTAAAATGCTCATTTTTATGCATAACTTTAGAGCACCAAGGTGATGAAAATGTACATACCGAACTTTCAGGTGCAAGACATGTAAATCCATGTAAATTTCCCTATTTAATTTTTTTTTCTTTCTTCATTTGTATATGTGATACTGTTTTAGGGCTCAAAATATAAACAAGATCCTTGATGCATGTATTACTTATTCAAAGTTTCAATAATTCCAATTTCCTTGTAATAATTGAGTATATTTTTTGATGTTGATTCAAACACTTCACAAGTCTTGATGACTACTTCTAAAGGATGATTCTTCTTGTACAAAATTGAAACTTTGATTAAAACTTTAATCATTTATAATTGGGCATTTACATAAATACCAAACAATTCTTATGTCTTTACATATCCAACACCTAAACTTTAGCATTCACATTAACATCACAACAAAAATACCACTTCAATAACTTTTTAAGGAAATATGCTCATTTTTATGCATGGCTTTAGAGCACCAAGGTGATAAAATGTAAATACGGATCTTTAAGTGTTAGATATGTAAATCCATAAGAATTGTGTGCATATGTAAATTTCCCCTTTTAAGTTTTTTTTTTCTTTCATTATTTGTGTTTGTCATACAGTTTTAGGGCTCCAAGAAAATATTATGAAATGAGATTTAGCGGGTATGTAGTTGTGGAATGTCAAAGAAAATGTAAATACAAGTTTGACGGCGTTTGGACGAGATTGCGAGGAAAAATCTGTTGTTGGACAACAAGTTCGATGTCGTTGACGGCTGTCCAGACCGACAACAACAAAAAAACTCTTAATTGGCGACATTCAGGCGGCAAGGAGATTTCACGAGTTGTTCCTACACAAGATACAGGTACACCACATGCAAAAGGAAATGATACAAAACTCCTTAAAATAAAAAAAGAGATTGCAATCTCCCTAAACTCAAAACAAAACAAAATTCCTCAAAACTAGAAAATAACAACACATAAAAAGTATCTCTAGCAAAATTCCACTTAAAAATAAGAAAAATAGGAAATAAGGAAATATGAAATAAATAAAGAGAAAATAAAGAGAAAAAAGAAAAAAATTGAGTAGAAATTAAATCGGAGCAACCACATGTATGTTTTGCTTTGTTCATGTCTATGGATATCACATAATCCCAACAATTGCAAAGATGGGACCCGTGATCCCACGATATAAGTCAATATGTGTCATTGAAGCTTTGTTAAGTATGATATATGTTGTGTTTTTTGTTTCTTTTTTTAATATGAATTTTACGGGACTTTTTGCCAAATTTTGAGAGTAGAAAATCTGAAGAGGTCACCTGTAATCACAACGATAACTTACCAAATCAAAATTGTGAAGTGAAATCCTTCCACCAACCAATCTCTAGTGATGAAGAAACAATACCCAGAAGATTTGGCATGAAATATTTGAGAAACCAAAATTTTGGAGTGAATATTGACGTGTCATATTTTGACGACCACAAGGATTCGAATGAGTTCATCAAGTGGCTCCAGACAATGGAATATGTTTTTTGAGTACGAAGACATCTTACCAAATGAATGATAAAGCTAGTTGTCATTAAGTCAAAGTGGCGTATTTTTGTGGTGAGAGAATCGAAAGCTTCTTTAAAAACGACAAAAGAAGAAAACACTGCATGGTCCAAGATGAAACAAGAGATGTAATGAAAATACCTACCAGTTCTTTACACAGAGGACATGCTCTTGAGACTTCATCACTTGCAGCAGCAAGATCTCTCAGTATAGAAGTACACAATTGAGTTTAAGTTGTTTATATTAAAATGTGAGCTGGTGGAGTACGTGGAGAAAATCATAGCACGATATCTGAGGGAATTGAGGTTGTCAATTGGCATTGTGGTCCAGTAAAATGCCTATTAAACATTACAGAATATTCAAACCCTAGTTTCGAAGGTGGAGAGACAACGTCACCGAGCGATTGCCACATCTTACTAGCAGAGTTCATCCCTAAAATCAAACAACAAGAGTATACCTAGAAGAACAATCAAACCGACCTTGCCTGAGGAGAAACTAGTTCAAAGTGGAGAACACATGGGAGCCAACCAACATTCCCAAATCAGGCCCTGGCAGAAAATGCATCAAGTACTACAATTTTTGGCACAGTACATCGATTGCCCAAACAAGAGTATTATTTGTTTTACTTAACAGAAAGTGGTTGAAGAAATTAATAGTAACACAGGAGAGAATGAAAACGTCAGAAAGGAGTCTCAACTTCCAACTAGCGAGGAAAAGGCACTAATGTTTCAAATTGATCCCATGAGAGAAACTGCAACCGGATTAACATTTGCTGTCCTAGAAGATAGCGAGTCCGAGGAGCCGATACTAGAAATGGGGCAGCACTTTTGAAAGGAATTGTTTTATGTATTAACTGACAGTTTACCTCCTGAGTGGTTACCATCGAGTGAACGCCAACATGCTATAGATTTTACTCCAAAGTCAGCTCTTCCAGACAAGTATGTATATCAAATACACCCAACAGAGTGCGAGGAGTGAGAGAAGCAAATTACAAATTCAATTGTTTGACACTTGGTTCGTGAGAATACTAATCCACATGCAGTTCCATGTTTGATTGTGCCAAAAAAGATGGCTACTTATTCTATCAAGAAGCACTTTAGAATGACATTTTTTAGAGTTGCATTGACTAAATGGAAGAATAAATTTTTACACTGTCATCCAACTCGAGCCAACTATTGTGTTGCAGCAAGAATACTGCCATTGTCAGTTCTTGTTTGTCGTCCCGCCATCATGCACACTACAATTCAACAGACATCCCTCCTTGACATTCGTGCCACACTGTTTCATGGTTTTCTTACTGTGTTCAGTCAGAAAAGCCACCGAACAACATCTATCCTCCTCCAAATATCATCGATCGGCCGTAGTTTCATTCCCTTACCATTCCTCTACCTCCTCTACATCAGACCAGCTTCCCAACCGTCTAGGAGCCCTAAATTGGTGTCAGTATTACATCAAAGTTTCTAACTACATATTAGCATACAAAATGATGAACCTAGTTAATTAATTTTAAAATCAACAGTGAGCTCTACAGATAATATGGCAAATAAAAACCAACTGCAATTTTATAATATATTAATTCACACCATGAACAGGAACTTCATAATAAAAAATATGTAACCACACTTACCGCAGGTTATCTTTCTTTGTTCATTTGCAAATACCTTAACTAGTTCACCCTGCAATTGGAAATCAGCCGAGCATAAATAAAAAAAAACAATTGCATCAACACAAATAGTAAAAGAACCTATTCTAAAGTTCAGCTCGAGGGAAGCCAACTAAGAATTGTAAGAAAAAGATCTGCAATAAAAATAAAAAAAAACTATCGATCCTAATATAACTATGCCTTGTATCATACCAAGAAATGAAATTAATTCAGAAGAAAGACTAACAGTTGCTTGTAAAAATTGACATGAAAGAAAAATGATGAATTAAAAAGGATGACAAATTTAAAAAGGTTCATGAATTAAAAAGCAAGATCAATCATTTTAACTATATCAAAAAGGATGACAAATTTAAAAAACTATAATAAAGGTTAACAAGTTAAGTTACCACATGTTAATTGCATTTTATAAGTTAAGATGCTAAACGCCAAATGATGAAGTGTTAACTGTTCTTGCTTCCAAAAATGGGTTTCAAATCCCATGAATAAAGATTTCAGGAACATTGAGATTCACCAAAGTAATGCATAATTTCTGAAAAATGATTATGTACAGGTTTTATTATCACATTGTAACATTCAAAGTGCTTGAAAGGACAATAAAAACAGTAACCTTTTTTTTAAATGTGCGTAAAAGTACATGGAATAGTTAATATGGTTGAAACAAGTTTTGTTCATTATGAGTGGAAATTTGCTTTTGAGGCTCATACTTTTACCCCCAATAACCCCATGACACTTTAGGGTATCATTTAAAATATTTTTTATTGGATATGTGGGCATCGAAAAATTCACACCGTGGACTATCGCATGAGAGTTTTGTGTAGCTCCGAGTCAAATTATCAGGAAAAAAAAAATAGATTTAGATAAGACACTACTTAGAAACCATCAATCTTTCCTCATTTCTTAATTTTTGTTTTTTTTTTAATTTTTTTCTTTTTTATTTAATTCATATATTAAAAACTAAAGTGTATATTTTTGTCATAATCTTTTAATCATACTCCTTGAGTTTTATGTCATTCAATCACGAGCTTGTAAATTATTTGTTCAACACTGTGCAAGAACCCAAACAACATGTGTGTCCACCATAGTTAATTTTGATGTTTCGGAGGCATTGGCTTTATCTGTTCACAATCCACTACAATCGAGCAATATTGGTGGTGGTCAAGATGTTTCGAACCCGAGTTGCATGACATCACGTTAGTAAATACTCCATTTCAATGATGTTCATTTGAATTGATCGTGAGAAGTCCCATCCAGGCAAAATTAATGTTCGAACGCATTCGTATAGTCTATTTAATGAACATGCAACTTTCAGGCATTTTTGACTATGCTCAAGGCAATTTGGATCTGATTCACATAAAAACACATATGTTGCCTTCAACCGGATTCGCTCAACGTGACTTGTGAAACATATATTAGGATCAACAATAGAATAATGCATCATAAATAAAATAAAGCTAGTACCTCATAAGCTTAGGGTACATTGGGAGTAACAACAAAAAATGGGATTGAAAAAAAAAATGGTCAACTAAAATGTCATTTTAGCTACACTTCAACTAGATAGCTAATTTTTTCCACTAAAAAAAGCAACATCTAGTACAGGCATAAAATTCTCATATATCAAAGATGTGAGAGAAGCACAAAAAAATTTAATGTACAACCACATTGTGAAACTTTTTGAACTAAAAGACGAAACCAGTCTCTCACAAAACAAAAAATAAACATTAAATGATCCAGCATGAAGCATGCAGGATACATGCACATTTGAAAGTGAAATTAGATGTTAAAGGTTGTTTGGGATTTCTTTTTTAATTTTGTTTTTATTTTGTTTTGTTTAAGTTTAGATTTAAAACAAAATCTATTTGGATTATTATAACATGTTTAGTCTTTTTTTTTTTACACTCAAAACTACTTTTAGATGTTTAAAGTGTTTTTAAAAATAAGCTATTTTATTTTTAAAAATAAAGAATAAAAACATAAAAAAATGCACTAAAAACACATTTTTAAAATAAAAGTAAAAAGAAAAAAAAAATCCCAAACAATCCTAAAATTCTTACAAATTTCTTTTCTCCTCATTTTATGTTAAAAAAAAGGAATCTATACCTAAGATGGAGGTTAAGCATATCCCTACTAGTTTATTCCATATAAAAGTTAAATTACAATATTTTGCTCAAAGCATAAAATGATGAAAACAAAAGCAAGAGCACCAAAAAAAAAGACAAAAAATTAATCTAAAAAACATTAGATTTTCCTCTACTAAAATAAGGATAACCCACTTAGGCACATTTGAAAGTGAATTTAGATGTTAGGGGTCGTTTGGGATCACAGCTGATTTTTGTCTTTTGTTTTTATTTTGTTTTGTTTAAGTTTTGATTTGAAACAAAACATATTTAGTATCTTATAACGTGTTAAGATTTAAAAAAAAAAAACACTCAAAACAATTTTTAGATGTTTCAAGTATTCCAAAAATAAGCTAATGTATTTTAAAAAATAAAAAACAAAAACATGCAAAAAATGTGCTATACAAACACATTTTAAAATAAAAGCAAAAAAAAAAAAAAACTCAAACAAAGCCTAAAATTCTTACAATTTTCTTTTTTCCTTCTTTTATGTTTAAAAAAAGGCATCTATACCTCTGATGGAGGTTAAGTAGATCCCTGCTAATTTATTCCATATAAGAGTTATTCTGCTCAAAGAATAAAATGATGAAAGCAAAACCTAGAGCACCAAAAAAAAAGATAAAAAATTAATCTAAAAACATTAGATTTTCCTCCACTAAAATAAGGATAAAGCACTTAACATGACTAGTGATTCCTTGATTATGGTCATTAAAATTAGCATTCAAAGAACTTTGAAATCTTTTGCGTGAATTCCATTAGCAAGCAAATGTGCAACACAGTTACTTTCTCCTACTATGTGATAGTAGTTAGCATGTAATGAAGCAACAATCTTTGATAACCTAAATGAAGAGACAATTGACCAATCTCCACCTCAATCAAAATTCAAATGGTGTTATCCATGAATTGCATGAATATACTTCAATAATTTCTTTGTTCAGTAAATTTTCCATCTACTTTTTATTGTTTTCTCAATGAAAAGATGCCTGACCAAGCTCAATGCTTTCTTATAACTCCTGTGGTATTAGGTAGGACAAGAGCGCTTCTTAAAGAAACATCACTAAATCTTTAGATTGTAACTATATTATACAAACTTCTTTAAGGAGACCAGCCAAAAGTTGAGCCAACTAGTGTTCAAATTGTACCGTAGTACCACGAGCAAATACTTCCATGAGATAAAAGAGCGAGATGTTGATGAAAATTTATTGGTAAAATAATGGGATCATTAACTTTAAAAGCTGATGATCAAGTATGAACTCCAATAAAAATTTATTAATGAAAAAAATTTCTACCTCACATGAAAAAAAATGTGTCCATCAACTGGAGCAAGCTTCCAAAAGGGTTTATTGAAAGAGATCAAGTAGGACCAGTAAGTGGGTGCAACAAATAGATATTCCAAATTTTAGATTAAACTCTTTGTAATGGTAGAATGACCAGGTCCTTCAAAAATTTTCCATTCAACGTATTTACATAACCACTCCACTATTATTTAAAGCAATGACTTCTATCTTGTCGTGGCGCTACATCAGGTATGAACCCTATCATGAGCTTCCCATTGAGGTCCTCTGGTGCATCCAACAAGCACTCCTACGAGTGTTCCAATGCACAACCAGCTCATGCCACTACAAAGTTATTTCTTTTTCTCATGCTTGCACATGCCAAATATGATTGTTGTAGATCCTTCTAGAGCATCAATGAGCATCTGTCATTATCCTTTTATAACCACCAGCCACCTCTAGGAACGACATTATATTTTCCCATTCAAGATCTATTCCAGTCATTTCTTTTAGGTTGCCCTTCTTAATGCTCCTCAACGCCACCTATTTTTGCTCAGCTATCTTCTTTCTCGGAGGTTCATAGAGTTTCAGCGGTTCTAACCATAGGCTTCAACCAATCCAATCATCTCCAAGGTTCCTTCCTCTTTGGCTCCTAGGATTATGATGTTCCCTTCTCATCCAGTCTCACAATTCCCTACTCCAATTGCTCATCATTTTTTAGGTTCCCCCGCCTTGTACTCATAACTCTCAATTTTTTGCTAATACTGTGGGTGGATTGTTAGATCCAATGTCCATTACAATCGTCACTGCTCTTTTATCAAGCTGAAGACTCATGTATTCAAGTAAGACTTGCCTTTCCAAGACAAGCTTGCTCTTATTTTCATTAATCCAGAGATCATTTAACTTGATCGAACATTCACATTCAACTTTGTTACAAAATTCTCTTTAGATAGTCCCAACATATACAACATTATCAAATTCAGGTGAAATTTGCAATTGATTGATGAATTTTCAGTTGGTCTATTTGATCATCGTCATGTTATTATTAAACCTTCTTTGAAGTTGGGTTATACCAGGCTTTCATCTCACCATACATACAGTAACTCTTCGATAGGAATGTTGAAGTGATATTTCCATTTTGATGCCTCCAAGAAACTACCTATCACCCCCGTTTAGGTAGTTTTTTCTAGGTTATGCCTTCATTACTTCAATTATTTAACTGTATATTCATTGGGATCTACTTTTGACAAACATTTGCAAATTGATGCTACTACCACCCATCTTTCCAGGCCTTTTGTGGCCCAGGTCGAAGTGAAAATGGATGTTACTCTCCTCTTCATAAGGAGGTAGAGATTGATTTATTATCTAGTGGTTAACCGCCAAATGTTGAATTTTACGGCATCCTCCAATAATGCCTCTCTATAACATTTTCAGACACATCTACTCTTATTACTCCAACACCCATCCGGATTAAAAAAAAAAAAAAACATTTCTGGAAGCTGAATCTGATGTGCTCGCCCAAACTACTCATTTGGCTTCCGCATCTACAACTCTTACAATTATTGTTGATAGTGATACTCCCGCTTTAAAAATTTCTCTCTACTTGATAACGAAAATAATAGGAA